AGGCCCATTTGGCCCATATCCCTCTAAACCCTTCCTATTCATATACCCATCCAGATGTCTTTTAAATGTTGTAATTTTATCAGCCTCCAACACTTCCTCTCACAGCTCATTCAACACACGCACCACCCTCTGTGTGAAAACGCTGTCCCCTTAGGTCCCTTTTATATCTTTCCCCTCTCAGCATAAACCTGCGCCCTCTGGTTTTGGACTCCCGTACCCCGGGAAAAAACCTTGACTATTCACCCTATCCATGCCCCTCATGATTCTATAAACTTCTATAAGGACACCCCTCAGCCTCCGACCCCAAAGGGAAAATTGTCCCAGCCTAGTCATCCTCTCCCTATAGCTCAAACCCTCCAACCCTGGTAACATCCTTGTAAATCTTTTCTGAACCCTTTCAAGTTTCACAACATCTTTCCTATAGCATGGAGACAAAAATAGAACATAGTATTCCAAAAGTGGCCTAACCAACGTCCTGTACAGCCACAACATGACTTGCCAACTCCTATACTCCACGGACTGACCAATAAAGGCAAGCATACCAAACGCCTTCTTCACTACCTTGTCTACCTGTGACTCCACTTTCAAGCAACTATGAACCTGCACTTCAAGGTCTCTTTGTTCAGCAATATGCCACAAGACCTTACCATTCAGTGTATAAGTCCTGCCCTGATTTGTGCTACCACCTCACATTTATCTAAATTAAACTCCATCTGCCAATCCTCAACCCATTGGCCCATCTGATCAAGGTCCCATTACACTCTGGGATAACCTTCTTCACTGCCCACTACACCTCCAATTTAGGTGTCAACTGTAAACGTACTAACCATATCTCGTATATTCACATCCAAATCATTTATATAAATGACAAAAAGCAGTGGACCCAGCAACAATGCTTGCAGTGCACCGTTTGTCACAAGCCTCCAGTCCGAAAAGCAACTCTCCACCACTGCGCTCTGTGTCCTACATTCAAGCCAATTTTGTATCCAAATGGCCAGGTTGACTAAGAATATTGCCCACGCTCACCACCTGCCATTACACAGTGTGGGGAATCATAGAATCCCTATAGTGTGGAAGCAGGCCATTCAGCCCATCAAGTCAACACCACCCTCCAAAGGGCATCCCATCCAGACCCAATCCCCTTCTCTATCTCTAACCCTGTGCTTCCTGTGGGTTATCCACCGAACCTACATGTCCCTGGACACTGTGGCATCCCTACACCTCCCCCTCACCTCCATCCAAGGCTAGGTGGATTGGCCATGCTAAATTGCCCATAGGGATGTGTAGATTAGGTGGGTTATAGGGGGATGGGTCAGTGTGGGATGCTCCAAGGGTCGGTGTGGACTTGTTGGGCCGAAGGGCCTGTTTCCACACTGTAGGGATTTTATGATGATTCCATAATGAATATTGATTGGAAAATTATATGCAATACTCAAGTTTGAGAAGAATTAAGAAAGGTTTGAGAGACGTAAATCTCAAAGTGTGCAAACCAGCTGTTTTGAACAAATGGATCCTAGGCCTTACAAAGGGTGGTACGGTGGCTCAGTGGTTAGCACTGCTGCCTCACAGCGCCAGGGACCCGGGTTCAATTCCGGCCTCAAGCAACTGTCTGTGTGGAGTTTGCACATTCTCCCAGTGACTATGTGGGTTTCCTCCGGGTGCTCTGGTTTCTTCCCACAGTCCAAAGATGTGCAGGGTAGGTGGGTTGGCCATGTTAAATTGCTCATATTGACCAGGGATGTGTAGGCGAGGTGGGTTAGCCATGGATGTTGTGGGATTACAGGGATATTAGGTGAGGTGAGTCTGAGTGGGACGCTCTTCAGAGGATTAGTGAGACTCGATGGGCTGAATAGCCTGCTCCCACACCGTAGGGACTCTATCAAGTGGAACACACAGAGTGAAAGCAAAGACATGACATTAACTTAGTGAAAATCACTGGTTGGGCTAAAGCGAGTGCATGTAACGATGCTCAGGGATGAACTGGACTGGCAGCTTAATGTTCCAGGGTACAGGAAGGATCACAAGGGGAGCAAGAGAGGAGGGGGTGTGGCATTTTTGATAAGGGATAACATTACAGCTCCATTTAGGGAGGATATTCCTGGGAATACGTCCAGGGAAGTTATTTGGGTGGAACTGAGAAATAAGAAAAGGATGATCACCTTATTCAGAGTGTACTATAGATTGCCAAATAGTCAGCGGGAAATTGAGAAACAAATTTGTAAGGAGATCTCACTTATCTGTAAGAAAAATAGGTGGTAATGTAGGGGATCTTAACAATCCAAACATAGACTGAGACATGGTGTTAAGGGCTTGGATGGCGAGGAATTTGTTAAGTGTGGACAAGAAAATGTTCTGATTCAGTATGTGAATGTAGCCATGAGAGAAGGTGCAAAACCTGACCTACTCTAGGGAAATAAGGCAGGACAGGTGACTGAGGTGTCAGTGGGGAAGCACTTTGGGGCCAGTGACCATAGTTATACTGGTTTTAAAATAGTGATGGAAAAGGATAGTCCAGGGCTAAAAGTTAAAGTTCTAAATTGGAAGAAGGCCAATTTTGACAGTATTAGGCAAGAACATTCAAAAGTTTATGGGGGGGAGGAGGGGGAGGAGGGCTGATGTTCACAGATAAATGGAAGGCTGCAAAAATGGGAAGCCTTCAAAAATGAGATAATGAGAATCCAGAGACATTATGTTCCTGTTAGGGCGAAGGGTAAGGCTGATAGGTATAGGGAATGCTGGATGATGAGAGATATTGAGGTTTTAGTCAAAAAGAAGAAAGAAGCATTTGTCAGGTATAAAACAGTAGAAATCAAGTGATTCCCTACAAGATTATAAAAGCAGTAGGAGTATATTTAAGAGGGAAATCTGGAGAGAAAAATGGGGACATGGATAGCTTTGGCAACTAGGCTCAAGGAGAACCCAAAGGGATTCTACAAATACATTATGGACAAAACGGTAACTAGGGAGAGAGCAGCCCCTTTAAGATCAGCAAGGCTGCCTATGTGTGGAACCACAGGAGAAGGGGGAGATACTAAACGAGTATTTTGCATCAGTGTTTACTGTGGAGGAGGATATGGAAGATGCAGAATGTGGGGAAATAAATACCAACATCTTGGAATATGTCCATATTACAGAAGGGGGAGGTGCTGGATGTCTTAAAACGCATAAAGGTGGATAAATCTCTTGGCATCTGATCAGGTGTACCCTAGAACTCTGTGGGAAGCGAGGGAAGTGATTGCTGGGCCCTTCGCTGAGATATTATGTCATCGATAGCCACAGGTGTGGTGCCAGATGCCTGGAGGTTGGTTAATGTGGTGCCACTATTTAAGAAAGGTGGGAAGGAAAAGCCAAGGAACAATAGACCAGTGAGCCTGACATTGGTGGTGGGCAAGTTGTTGGAGGGGATCCTGAGGGACAGGATTTACATGTATTTGGAAAGGCAAAGATTGATTAGGGATAGTCAACATGGCTTTGTGTGTGGGAAATCATGTTTCATGAATTTGATGAGTCTTTTGAAGAAGTAACAAAGAGGATTGGTGACTGCAGAGCGGTGGACATGACCTATATTGACTTCAGTAAGGCACTCGACAAGGCTCCTCATGGTAGGCTGGTTAGCAAGGTTAGATGACACGGAACACAGGGAGAATTAGCTATTTGGATACAGAACTGGCTTGAAGGTAGAAGACAGATAGTGGAGGAGGGTTACTTTTCAGACTGGAGGCCTGTGACCAGTGGTGTGCCACAAGGATTGCCACTGCTTTTCGTCATTTATATAAATGATTTCAATGTGAACATAGGAAGTATGGTTGCTAAGTTTGCAGAAGAAATGAAAATTGGAGGTGTTGTGGACAGTGAAGAAAGTTACCTTAGAGTACAACAAGATCTTGATCAGGTGAGCCAATGGGTCTAGGAGTAGCAGATGGAGTTTAATTTATATAAATATGAGGTGCTGCATTTTGGAAAGGCAAATCAGGGTAGGACTTATACACTTAATGGTAAGGTCCTGAGGAATGTTGCTGAACAAAGAGACCTTGGAGTGCAGGCTCATAATTCCTTGAAAGTGGAGTCGCAGGTAGTTAGGATAGTGAAGAAAGCATTTGGTATGCTTTGCTTTATTGGTCAATGCATTGAGTATAGGGGTTGGGAGGTCATATTGCAGCTGTACAGGACATTGGTTAGGTCACTAATGGAATACTGTGTACAATTCTCTGTTTTAGGAAGGATGTTGTGAAACTTCAAAGGGTTCAGAAAAGATTTACAAGGATGTTGCCAGGATTGGAGGGTGTGAGCAATAGGGACAGGCCGAATAGTCAGGGGCTGTTTTCTGTGGAGTGTCGGAGGCCGAGAGGTGACCTTATAGAGGTTTACAAAATCATGAGAGGTAGGGTAAATAGACAAGGTATTTTCTCCGGGGTGGGGGGGGGAGTCCAAAACTAGACAGCATATGTTTAAGGTGACAGGGGAAAGATTTCAAAGGGGACCTAAAGAGCAACTTTTTCCCACAGAGAGAGTGGTAAGTGCATGGAATGAGCAGCCAGTGGTGGAGGCTGGTGCAATTGCAACATTTAAAAGGCATCTGGATGGGTATATGAATACAAAGGGTTAAGAGGGATATGGGCCAAATGGGACTAGATTTATTTAGGATATCTGGTCGGCGTAGACGAGCCGGACTGAAGGCCGAAGGGCCTGTTTCCGTGCTGTATGTCTCTGACTCCATGCAGTCCATTCGAATACACTGCTTCCTGACTCAATTTGATGGACTGATCTTATATTGAATATAAACAGCCTCACACAGCAGCTGAGATATAAATACACCATATACTGGATCAAAAACCAGGAACTCCCTTCCTCACAGGACTTTGGGTCCACCTACAACACATGGACTGAGGTAGTTCAAGGCAGCACTTCAACCCCATTTTCAAGAGAGAAAATCCAGAATGGAAAAGAAATGCTGACCTTAACAAAGGCAGCTACATCCCAGGAAAGAGTGAAAATAAAGTCAATAAATAAAGCAAGCCTTGATGCAGCGCCATGGTTAATAACTTTACAAGACACAAGTCTAAACCTAAAACCACCAAAACGACAATGCTCCACTCACACAAGTAATCGAGGAGAGTATATGGTCAACTTGAATTATTCAGCTGAAGACTGTAATGCAGTATGCTGTGTAGTTAAAGTTGAGCACAGCTCCCATCAGGACGTTGTTGTCATACAGTTTTATGATGACATTTGTTTGAAAAATATCAACGTGAGTATCACGGCTGTTTTTCAAACAGACCAATTAAAGAGCCTGTTGTCTCAAAATGTATCGAAATTAGTCAATCTCTCCCTCAATCCACAATGTTTCTCTGCGTTCCACCCCTTGCCCAATCCACAACATTTTTCTCTCTCCCCCCACTGCCTTGGGCAGCAGTGACCAAAGATGGGAGCTGGCTGCCTCAGCAAGGTCAACATCCAACAACATCATAAAAAACATGTGGAGAAAAAAGGAATTTCTTGCCCTTTGTTCTAAAATGACATAACCTCATCTGAACTTCAGTACTATCCTAAATAAATCCTTTCTTAATACAGTTTTTGCATAGAAGCTATATTGTTGTCCCAACATAATTAAAATAGGCATCATATTTGACAAAGCTCATCATTTCAAAGAGATTTCAGGCCTCCCAGCTTCCTAATTCTAATCTCCTGCAATCGTACAACCTTCCAAGATCTTGGTGCTCCTCCAATTATGTTCTGTCATTAGAGGCCATGCCTTCAATTACTTAGGCCCTGATGCTGTGTGTAATTCCCTCCCGTCTCCTTTAGGATACTATGTAAAATCTCTCCTTGACCATCGCTTTCCGTTACTTGTCCAAACAAATCTCCAAAGCCGAGGTGGTGGCAACTTTTGTTTGATATTGTTCCTGTGGAGTGCCTGAGTTAAAGTTGCTAATTAAATGCAAGATGTAATCAGCTTCATAAAAAATTATTCTTCCTGTATTCTAACACAAATGCCTTATTTTTCCTGATCACAGGACTTCTGATCACCTCATTGCAAGACAGCCAAGGGTCGATATATTATTTACAACACTTACGTTAGATAAGTTCCTCTGGAGTTGATACTCATCATGAGGTCCACTTTCTTCATTGGCGTTTCCAGGGTCCCAGTTAGATTAATGGCACTAGCATTATTTATCAGTATATCTATACCTGTTGGAATTTAAAAAAGTCAATCACCAAAATAGTCTGGTTAGGCATTGCTCAAAACCTATCATGCCAATTGTTACCCAGCTCTCCTAGCGGTGCAGATTGTTGGTGGGCCACAGACCCTAGCAACACCTGCTCCAGTTCTCTCTCCCCATGAAGACCAATTGTGGTGCACTGAACCTCAGACGACAGCTTGACCCAGTGATAGTACAAGTTAAAAGCTCATGGGTTCAAGCTGCACAGTTGGACGTTAGAAAATAAGCTGAATATGACTGTGCACTGCCTTCATATCATCATAGTTTCCATTATTTGCATGAAGTGTTGAACTGCCCAGGATAATGTAAAATGTCCCATGGGGCTAAGAGAACATAGAACATAGCACAGTACAGCACAGGAACAGGCCCTTCAGTCCACGATGATGTGCCGAACATGATGCCAAATGCAACTAAACCCTTCTGCCTGCCCTTGGTCCTATCCCTCCATTCCTTGCTTATCTAAAAGTACCTTAAATGCCCCGATCGTGAGCAAAGGAATTCAGCTGGTATCCTGACGAGCATTCATTCCTCAGTCAACATCGCTAAAACAAGTTAATTACTTACAGTCAACGTGGTTGCTGTGTACTTGGCAGAAACAAGAAATTGCTTTTTTAAAATCACACTGTGAAAATGTTGGGGAGCCATGGCCGTAACTGCTGATTCCACACATTAGACACACCTACTCCCTTTTAAGTAATTTTTAATCAACCTATTTGGACACATCATGACACACCTCTAAAGCAGGGAGAGCTTTAAACCAGACATTCTGGCCCAGTGGTACGGACACTACCCCTGCAGAAGAACCCTCCTATTTCCCCTCTTATAGATATTTTCCAAACAACCTGTTCAAAGATGTCGCTACACACCTCTGGAGTAGGTGGGACTTGAACCCAGGCCTGCTGGTATTAGGGATAGGGGCACTTCCACTACACCACAAAAAGCGAGTTGCCTTTTTTATCCTTTATATCCAGAAGTGCTCCTACACACAACCAAACATTTTGCAAAATCACCTGTGATATTCCCTCACCTATTAACCACCACCATAAATCACTGAATCCCAATTGATTAATTTATATGCAAAGCCCACTAAAGGGAACTGCAAACCATCAAAGGTGAGAGGGGTCTAAACCAAAATCTAGTCAGAAGGTGGGATAAAGCATCTAACCCCCTGCAGTGCCTATCTATCTCTAAAGGCATTGAGTGTACTGGTGGATACCGCATGGTCCCTGTCTAAGGACACAACTCTGCACACAAACATTCCCCTTTTCTATCAACTAGTCACTTAATTAATCAACGCAACTGACTTACTGAGACATTATTGAAGACAGAGAAGGCAAAAGATCAACAGGCTGACTTTTGCACTTTAGCCACAGACAGATTTGTTATAACTAACTGGGGAAATTTCTTTGCTCACTCACTCTGCACTTCAATGCACTGCAACAGTTTAAACATATTCAATCCATGCAGTTTCCTGTGAAGCCTCTTCAGTTCTTCTACTGTGTTAAACAAATGCAAGTGGCTCTTCTCTTGGTGCAATCCTCTGTTTTTTGAAGCAAGTGAACAAAGAGGAAGGTAAAGATAGGATAGTCCTATACAGTATTACAGCACGGAAAGAGGTTCCTTAGTCCATTGTGTCTACGCCAATCATCAAGCATCAATGTCCATTTTCCAGCACTTGGCTCATAGACTTGCATGCTATGGCACTTCAATTGATCATATAAATACTTAAATGCTGTGATGGTCCTTGTCTCTACCAACCCTTCAGGTGAGTTCCACATATCCACCACACTACAGGTGAGAAATTTCTCTGTAAATCCTTTCTAAACCTCCTACCCTTCACTGTAATTCTATGTACCCTAGTAACTGAACCCTCTAATAGGCAGTGGGGGAGGGGGGTGGGCATGTTTGTTTGTATATTACTCTACCTATGTCCCTCATAGTTTTGTACACCTCAATCAAGTCCCCCCTCAGCCTTCATTGCTCTAAGGAAACCACCTCAGCATATCTTGTCTCTCTTCATCACTGAATCACTCCAGCCCAAGCAGCATCTCGGTGAATCTCCTCTGCACCCTCTCCAAAGCAATTGTGTCTTCCTATAGTGTAGCATCCAGAACTGCACACAGGACACCAGCTATGGCCTAGCCAACTTCCTATACAGCTCCATCATAACCTCCCATCTCTTGTATTCTATGCTTTGACTAATAAAGGCAAGTATCCCATATGCCACCCTATCCACTTATCCTGTTACCTGTAAGGATCAGTAACTTACACACCAATGTCCTGCTGATCCTCAGTTCTATCCACAGTCCAACTATTCATCATATATTCCCCCTTGCTTTATTTGTCCTCCCACAATACATCACTTCACACTCTTGACAAATCAATTACATTTGCCACTGTTTTGCCCATCTGACCACCCCTTCTATTTCGTCCTGTGTTCTCAGCGTTTACTCCTTGCTATTTATGCACCACCAATTTTTGTGTCATCTGCGAATTTACTGACCAAACCTCTTATACTTGTATTTAAGTCATTAATGTATAATACAAAGAGTCAGGGACCTAGCACTGAAAACTATGGTATGCCACTGGACAAAGGCTTCCAGTCACAAAAACAATCTTTAACCAGAACCCTCTGCCATCTCACAACCAATTTGCTCCAGATCCCATGGGCTCTCCCATTTGTGACCAGTTTCCCATTCAACACCTGTCAAAAGCCTTACTCAAGTCCACGCAGACCACATCAACCAAATACCTTCAACTTCACACCTAGGCACTCCTCAAAGAAATTCAAGTTTGTTCGACATAATCTCTCTCTGATAAAAACCATGCTGATTATCCTTGAGTAATTCTTGTTTCTCCAACTGGACATGAATTCTGTGCCTTAGAATATTTTCCAAAGTTTTGCTATCTCTGATGTCAAACTCACTGACCTACTATTCCCTAGTTTATCCCTACCACCCTTCTTAGGTAGTGGCTTTGCATTAGCTGCTGTCCAGTCCTCTGGCATCTCTCCAGTATCCAGACAGGATCTGAAAATTAATGTTCAGGCCCCTACAATCTCGTCCCTTGCCTCCCACAGCAATCTAGGATACATCTCATTGAGAATTGGCGATTTATCCTATTTTGAGCCTGCTAATACGTGCAACTGATGTTAGACTAACTGGAAAGGCAAATCGTGTTTAACAAATTTACTGAAGTTTTTGAGGCTGTAACTAGTAGAACAGACAGTGGAGAATCAAGTGGATGTGGTGTATTTGGATTTTTAGAAGGCTTTTCTAAAGGACCCTCATTTAAAGTTAGTGGATGAAGTTAAAGCACATGGGATGAGGGTAATATACTGGCTTGAGAATTGGTTGACAGACAGGAAACAGAGTAGGATCTAATGGGTCTTTTTCCAAGTGGCAAGTAGTGACTAGGGAGGTACTATAAGGGTTAGTGCTTTGATGCTGTCTATTCATGGTATATATAAATAATCTTGACGAGGAAACCAAATGGAACAATTCCAAGTTTGCTGATGATACAACACTGAATTGGACTGAGAGTTGTGAGAATACGAGGAGGCTTCAGTTTGAGTTAGACGAGTTGAGTGAGTGGGCAAATACCATATAACATGGCTAACTATGAAGTTATATACTTCAGTGTGAAAATAAAGAAAGGAAAACAATTACATAAATGATGAAATATTGGTAAGTTTGGATGTATGAAGAGATCTAAGTGTCCTTGTACAACAGTCAATGAAAATTGACAAGGTGCTGCAAGCAATTCGGAAGGTAAGTGGTATACTGGCCTCCACTGCAAGAGGACTTGAGTTCAGTAGTAGGTATGCCTGACTGCAGTTGTATAGGACCTTGGTAACACTGCATCTGGAGTAGTTTGTGCAGTTTTGGCTTTCCTCCTCAAGAAAGAAGATGCTTGCCATTGAGGAAGTGCAGCAAAGGAACACTAGACTGATACGGGGGATGGCAGGACTGTCCTATGAGGAGAGATTCGTTCGACTGGTCCAGCCTCCTGTTTGACTGCAGCTTAGAAGGATGAGAGGGGATCTGATTGAAATGCATAAAATTGTAAAAAGGCTGTACAGAATAGATGGAGGAAGGATGTGCCCAATGAGCAGGAAGTCCAGTGACAGCGGTTATAATCGAAGAATATAGGATAGATCATTTAGAACTGAGATGAAGAAAAGTTTCTTCTCTCGAAGGGTGGTGAATATGTCGCCTTCTCTACCAGAGAAGGCTGTGGAGGCCAAGTCACTATGTACATTCAAGAAGGAGTTAGATTTTTTAAAAAAGATTTTAAAGACATCAAGGATTATGATGAAAAAGCAGGAATATGGCAGTGAAATAGAGGAATGGCCATGATCATATTGAATAGTAGAGCAGGCTCGAAGGACCAAATGGCCTACCCCTGCTCCGATATGTTTTTCTCAATGCTCGTCTGTTAAAGTTTATCATAGTTGTCCTATCGACTTTCCATAGATACACTGCTCTTCTCAAGAGTGCATACAGATACAAAATAATAATTTAAAACCTCACTTACATCCTACAGCTCTATCCACAGTTTGGATAAAATCACTTTGGAATTTCCTTTATTTTACTCGCCAGGGCTTTCTCAAGCCCGTTTTTCATTCGACTCTTTTTTTAAAAGCAACCCACTGGATTTACGATATTCGTCTAAGGCTTCTACTATATTTAGCGCTTGAGCCTATAAACTTCCTTTTCTTCTTTGTCCAATCCTGTACATTCTTCAACATACAGGGTTGGCTGGAGTGCTTGCACCTCCTTTCAACGTTACAGGAAAACATTGGCCTCGAACACTCCATTTCCTTTTTAAATGACTCCCACTGCTCTGATGTAGATTTTCCTATAAGCAGCTGTTCCAAGTCCACTTTGGCCATATTCTGTCTTATCATTTTAAAATAGGCCTTCCACCAATTCAGAACTTATATTTCCAGTTCAATGTTGGCCTTCTTTTTATAACCAATCTGACTGAATTATGATCACTATCAGCAAGATGTTCCTTCACTGAGACTTCTACCACTTAGCTGGCTTTGTTCCCCCAAAATTAAGTCTAGCACTGCCTCTTCTCTTGTAGGGCTTTCTAACTGTTGGCTTAAAAAGCTCTCCAGTACACATTTCAGGAAATCTTTCACAAGAAAGAAGCATTTCATATTTTGTAGGTAAAATCCTCTATTAATATCCTATTGTACTTACGGTTCTGAGATTTGCCTACATATCTGCCCTTCTCTATCTCCCTTGTAGTTTGGAGGTTTATAGTACACCCCAATATCATGACCGCCCTCTTTGCTTTTAAATTCTACCCACAGTGCCTCAATTGAGGAACCTTCAAAGATATAATTTCTCCTTATTGAAGCAATTGACTCCTTAAATGAATATCGTAACACCACCTCCTCTTTCATAATCTCCTCCCATATCATGCCTTAACATCTATTCAAATACATTACATAATTATTCCCACTGTCACTGGAGAACTATGGCACAGGGCTATTAAAAATATAATTGTTGACAAAAGGTTGGGAGGATCTTTACAATACACTAAAACTGAAAGTGCAGACAGTGTATCCAATGACCTGCATGCTGTTGCAATCAAGGTTATATTAACTCTGTGTTTGTATAAAAACAAACCAGGTCTCCAGTTTTGCCAACAAAGTGTTCTCATTGCCTGGTCTGCCACATTAGGCAGGTGAGCAAGCTCCAAGTTTCGGGGACACATATTAACTGGTGCATGTTACAACACTTTTAAAGTGTGGAATGACATAGAATTCACAGTAATAGTCCACTAAGACCAACTGGTCCATGTATGTCCTAACCTATTCAGTGTACAAGATAAAACACCACACATGACAACATTCCTTTACAATTCTGGGGTCAAGTTTTTGGCCAGAGATGAATATCATCCCAAGTTCTTGTGTGTACATACGGCAAAAAAAGTTAAAGAAATTTTCTGGCTAGTCAGTTAAGAGAAAAGATATCGGAAATGATGCTTTCGGATTTATTTTCATTGTTATTCTTCTCCATGCTAGAACTTAGCAACCTCCAGTATCGACAATACTAGTTGTGGTGTAGCTGTTGTCATATTTGCATAGTGTCAAAAAAATCACAAGATGGAAATTTGTGATAACTTTTTATTTAATCAAACTGAGTTGAAGGAGTATCCTTCCATGATTCAGCTGCATGAATCAACATTTGTTCTGCTCCAGCAGATAACCATCCTCTCTCATCCTTCTCTTCAGGTTAGAGAAGGAACATAATTCAATCTGAGAGAATGGTTCCAGGGATGAGGAACTTCTGCTTTAGAGATAGATTGGAGAAGTGCAGATTGGTTTCCTGGGAGAAAAGAAGATTGAGAGAGAATTTGATAGAGGTGCTCGAAATCATGAAGGGCCCAGACAGAATAGATAGGTAGAAATTGTGATGTTTTCACAAATAAATGGGCACAAATTTCAAGTAATTGGCAAAGGAAGCAGAAGTGAAATGAGGAAAACTTTTTGTGCAGCAAATGGTTAAGATCTGGAAGGCATCACCCGAGTGAGCATGAAGGCAGGTTCAATTGAAGCTTTCAAAATGGATCTACAACGTCAGCTAAAAAAAGAAACATCCACATGGTTACTAGGAAGAAATGGAGAATGGCAGGAGGCAAATTGCCCATTTATTCAGAGGCCAGTAGAGGCAGGATAGGCTGAAGAACCTCTTTCTGTGCCGTAACAATTCTGTGAGGAAAGAGCAGGGGATGGACTCTCGAATCTGACCTGCCATTCAATCAGATCATGGCTGATGGATTCAACAGATGATCCATCATTTCAACTTCACTTTCCTGCCCTATTCCTATATCCCTCGATTCTCCTGGTTCCCAAAGACTTGATAGTTAGATTATAAACTGGAGATTAACTCTTCCCCCCTCACCCATGTTATTCACCGTCTCGTGCGACCTAAGTGCCCCTACTCGGAATAGTGAATTACTGGATGGCTTTAGGACATGTCAAGGAGGGTTTAAAACTATGCTTTAATGGGATATTTCTTGTTGAAATTGTCTGCATGTGTGATTGCATAAATATAGATCTCTGGATCCAGCTGAAGAATGGATCCTGTTGTTTGAATTGGGCAGTGATGTTTGAATTGTGTGGTGATTTAAGCACCTGCATTACACACTGAGGTAGCTAATCAGTTTTGTCAGCACATCAGTTCCTGGCAGACAGAAGCTATCACTCCATTGCCATGTCATGAATAACCTCTTATTCAAAATTAAGTCAGTGACTCGTGTGTGTAGTAAATGGGGCTTAAAATTGGCAAATTGTACTGCATGCAAATATACTGTATGAAAAACCTTAAACTGCATATCTCTTCAAATATCAGATACTGTCATTCAGCTTTAAGAGAGAAACTGAAGTCATGGTCAAGTAGAAGTCTCAGTACTAGGTGTTCCAGGTGTTGCAAACTATAGATTGCAGTTCATGCTGATCCATACTGACCATCTCAAGGGGAGTTGCCTCTGAATCAAGTTGTTATTGGGGAAATTAGGAACATTTCCACCAGAAGTCAAGATTCATAAATCTTTAATTAGGAGTTGTGAGTTTGGTTGCCATAGTTGCATTAAATTAGTTTGAATGGGACAGAATTGCCTTCGGAGAGGCTATTTTGAGGACACTGGGATTTCTGCACTACCCAGGGGATAGCACTTGCCAGAAAGGGGGCTCTGGCTGGGACAGCAAGTTAGGAGCTCAAGGGATAGTTTGAGTGAGATGCTCTTCGGAGGGTCGATGTGTGGACTCAAAAGGCCTGCTTCCACACTGCAGGGATTCTATGATTCAATCACATCACAAGCTGAGGGGCTTCAGAGAATTGGAGAAGCTCCTCAAAGTCCTTGGATCGATAAGAGTGCAAAACTCTGAACCTTCTGTTCTACGGTACATCATATTTCAACTGATGGAATGTTAAGTATTAGTTTTTGTTGTCAAAAAAAAATCTTGCTGGTTAACTTACAAATTAACAATACTGCGTCCTATATGGTAACACAGTGTGGAGCTGGAGGAGCACAGCAGGCCAGGCAGCAGAGGAGCAGGAAAGTGGGCATTGCTGAAGAAGGGTCCCTACCTGAACTGTCAACTTTCCTGCTCCTCTGATGCTGCCTGACCTGCTGTGTTCCTCCAGCTCCACACTGTGTTATCTCTGACCGTAGCATTGGCAGTTCTTACTATCTCTGTGTCCGAAGTGGTTATTCGTCCACAAGAATTGACAGACTTTTGATGACTTTGCATAAAATCCACAAATCCACAATAATAATAATAATAAACTCAGAAAATAAATCACTGTACCTCCAAACGTCTTTACTGCATTCTCCACTGCCTCGCTGATTTGCTCCTCATTTCGCACGTCGACAACACAGGGTAAAGCCTTGCCTCCAGCAGCTTCAACTGAAAAGCACAAAGAAAATTAATAATGCCTGTAGACAAGTGAAAGATATATAATATCTGTTTCTCCACGCGAGGGAATCAATTGATAGCCATGTGCATCACAAAGGCTATTTTTCAGCCAAATAAAACAGTAAGACAAAACTGAAAAGACAAGACACATTTGTCTAATTCTAAAGCTGAAGTAGTTTGGTGTTGATGATGACTGAGCTATTATGGGCCCGTCAACATACATCAGCCAACTGTATTGACTACTTCACACAAACGTCATTGCCAGCAACTTCTTATTCAAATAGGAAAATGACAACAAGGCAATGAAAAGGTCCTGTATTATGTTTTGAATTACAATGGAATCATCTGTGAAGGGTTTGGCCTGCATTAGAGGAGAAAATACAGCATTGTAAGGTGGTAGAAAGTACAATTTTACGAATTGTATGTTGCAGTTGTGAAACTTATAATGTTACTGAATGCAATGTGCAGCCAGAATGTGTGTTCCTTCCCGGATTGAACCTATAACTTATCCATTTAGCCTGGTTAAGGGAATCAGCCAGGCAGAGAATGCAATAGAATGGTAGAATTCGTGTAATTTATCTAAAATTTATATACCGTTATCCCGTAATCTCTGACAAATAACTCATTTTATTCCTGATGACCAGTAAAAAGCAGCCATATCCATGAACTTTAATAAAAGGGACAATCCAAACAGCTCCTTGCTCCAGTGAGCTTGCTCCTGAAATTAAGGGAGAAAGACAGACTTGTATTTATACAATCTTCACGACGTCTGGGCATTCTGAAGTGCTCAACAGCCACAGAAGTACTTGAGAGTGGTCTCTGTTGTCACGTATGAAACACAACAGCCTATTTGCGCAGAGCGAGATTGGGAGCCAGGACCAAAAGACCGTAAGAAAGGAAGTGGTGGGGGCTGGTACAGTTACAACATTTAAAAAGGCGCCTGGATGGGTACATGAATAGGAAGGGTTCTGGGGATAGCAGCCAAATGCTGGCAAATGGGACTAGATTTATAGAGGATATCCAGTCGGCATGACGGGTTGGACCGAACAGTCTGTTTCTGCGCTGTACATCTCTATGACCCTATACAGGAACAGGAAATAGGCCATTCGGCCCCTCGAGCCTATTCCACCATTCAACAGGATCTTAGCTGTTCAAACGATCCTCTTGTTCATTTACCCAATAACCCTGGATTCCCCTACTGATCAAGAATTTATCTAGCTCAGCCTTAAATAAACACAAGGACACAGCCCCAAAACTCTCTGTGGCACGCAGTTCCAAAAACTCTCAACCTTCTGAGAGAAAAAAGTTCCTCCTCATCTCAGGCAAACACTGACACCCCTTAATTTTGAGACTAAGCCTTCTGTTCCTAGACTCTCCAGTGAGGTGAAATATCCTCTCAGCAATAAAACATATGTAAGGGACTGACGTTGGAGCATGTATGTGATAGAGAACTCATGGGCACTCAAAAACAGAAGAAAACATTTGGGCTTGTGCATTTTTAAATAATGCAGTAAGTCTTAATTACCACCAAACAATCCCTCTGATCTGAAAAATTATTTTTCTAAGTCTATAGTCTTTCTTCAGACTGAAATTATTGTTGGAGTGATTTTTAAGTATGAATTCTTTTTCCGAGTTTTCTATTAATCCATCTCTCGCTTAATTCCATCTTCCTTTCCCTTTCTTCTTTTCACTATCTACATGAGTTGGCATCAAATTAAATGTTCTAATTGATACTTCCTGGTTCAGATTCAACCCATCTCAGAAACAGATGTTCCCATCTGATTGCTGAAGGAGATACACAGTTGCATTCCGCTTTCATACAGGCCCCAGAGACCTTGTGGAAGATGCCACACCCAATGCTTTTGAAGCATGGCCAAGGCTATTACTAAACTCCACAGAAAGTCAAAGGGGTTCAGTGCCATCAATGGTGACTAACATCAAACTCTGTGTCAAGGAGACCACGTTGTGTCCCAGCAATCCTCCAGTACCTCACCTGCAGAAACATCACAGTTGACAGCTAACAAATGTGCAAATTCCAAAAGATACTGATGAGTAAATCGTAAAAGGAGAATGCTTGCAGGTTGTTTGACTTCAAAAGGGTGTCACAGCAGAGGCCACACAGTGTAGACCTGGAGGAACACAGCAGGTGAAGAGGGTCCCAACCCGAAACATCAACTTTCCTGCTCCCTTGATGCTGCCTGGCCTGTAGTGTTCCTTCAGCTCCACACGGTGTTGTCTCTGACTCCAGCATCTGCACTTCTCGCTATCTCACAGCAGAGGCCAGGCCTGTCCTCATTGGATACATAGTTTTAGAGTTGGATTTTCTGGTGTAGTGGACTGACTCCCTCTCTCTGAGCCAAAAGCTATGGTTCAAATCCTACTTCATACATAGCCACAGAAGATTCCATAAAACATGGAGCTGGAGGAGCACAGCGGGTCAAACAGCATCTGATGAGCAGGAAAGTCGACGTTTTGGGTCAGGATCCTTCATCAGGGCTGGGGAGGGGGAAGGGAGCTTGGAAACAAATAGAGGGAGGGGGCTGGGGAAGGTGGGTGCTTTGGTGATAGGTGGATGCAGGTAGGGTGTTGTAGAGATTGGTCAATGGGAAGGGTGGGGCGGACAGCTGAGAAGGAAGAGAGAGAGAGAAGTGAGGGGGAAGGTGTAGGAGCAGGTGTAGCACTTCCTGCGGATGCAGGGAAAGGTGCCAGGTGTGGTGGAAAGGTTGGTGGCGAGTGTGGAGCGGATGAGGGAGTCGCGGAGTGAGCGGTCCCTACGGAAAGCAGATACGGGTAGGAAAGAATGTACCTCCCAGCCACAAAAGATGAAATTCAGAATGAGACCGAGACCAAGGAAGCTGATTATCAATCTGTAGATCCAATACACCAATGGCAGAAACTAGGAGTGGGACAGCCTCCTGGACAGCCACGCTTCATGTAGAGAGCTGCCCCTCAAGTCATATCCTCTGGGACAGACTAGCAACACATTAAAAGGCAAAAAAAAATATGAGCCATGGAAACAAAAATAAGCACTCGCTTTGAAACAAACAAAAACAGAAACTGGAGAAACTCAACAGCTCTGGCAGTACCTATAAAGGGAAAACGGTGTTAATGTTTTGAGTCCAGCGACCCTTCTTCAGAGGATCAGTGGTTCTTTATATGCCTCTTGTGTGACAAAACATAGGAGAGCATGAAGTCTAAGCCTCTGGATAGGAATCAGTACCAGTGAAAAAGAACAACTTCTTTCTTTCATAACCTCAGGGTTGCAGAGCCTAATTGCAGCACTTCATCGAGTGCCAGCAAACCAAAACCAATAAGGTGACAAATGTGAGATTTCGCAACATAATGTATCTGCTGGCTAGAACCCCACAAGTTGTACTGGAAGCCTAAATAATAGTTTAAAAAATGCTGATTCAGGTATATGCTCTCTGAGAAAATGTTGTTCAAGTAACACTTTTGTAAGCGAAAATAGTGGGCTACTTAAAGTGAAAGATTGAGACAGCTGGCAATCAGTCACCCAAATTCATTGAAATCACTGGAACAGCCACACAGAGCAACCTTTGCAAATATTAATGAGGTCCCTATTCAAATATTGAAATAGGAACACATTTTTGTTTTGGTTAACCATGTGCTTAAGCAGCCAATGGGCTGACACACATCATGCAGTCATCAGTATCCTAGTAACTAGCTAAAAATACATCTTAGCTTTCATGCTAATCCAAGCAACAGGCACAACCTATCTGGCCCATTCAATTCACTTGAAAGCAAGACAATTGCCTGGAGATTCGATTATTATATTGGTTACAGCTCCAAGCTGAATGCATACAGTGGCAATAACAACAGGTGCTACATGAATGGTACCTCATGCAATGCAAGGAACATCTGTTCATGGTTGTCTGCATGGACAGTGCAGACTCTGGGATTCTTTTTCAGCATTAAAAATTTTTTTAAAAAATCAAGTTTTTTGCAGGGAATTGACCAGGACATAAAACAGAATATACATAAACCTCGAATACATTAAGAAAGGCATTACACCCAGGATAGATGACTGAATTTGTAAAAGAATTATGCTGCTGTTCTGAACAGTAGATGGCCTGTCAGCCCATAAAGTCTACAGCTCTTATGAGGAGGTGGTCTTTGGCAAGTTATTGGAGGGAATCCTGAGGGACAGGGTTTAGGTGTATTTGGAAAGGCAAGGACTGATTACGGATTGTCAACATGGCTTTGTGTGTGGGAAATCGTGTCTTACTAACTTGATTGAGTTTTTTTGAAGAAATAACAAAGAGGATTGATGAGGACAGAGCCGGGGCTGTGATCTATATAGACTTCAGTAAGGCGTTCAACAAGGTTCCTCATGGTACACTGGTTAGCAAGGTTAGATCACATGGAATACAGGGAGAGTTACCAATTTGGATACAGAACTGGCCTGAAGGTAGGAGACAGAGGGCGGTGGTGGAGGGCTGTTTTTCAGACTGGAGACCAGTGACCAGCGGTGTGCCACAAGGATCGGTGCTGGGTCCACTGCTTTTCATCATTTATATAAATGATTTAGATGTGAACATAGGAAGTATGGTTAGTAAGTTTGCAGATGACACTAAAATTGGAGGTGTGGTGGACAGTGAAAGAGGTTACCTCAGAGTACAATGGGATTTTGATCAGATGGGCCAATGGGCCAATGAACCAAGGAGTGGCAGATGGAGTTTCAGTTAGATAAATGCAGGCTGCTGCATTTTGGAAAGGCAAATCAGGGCAGGACTTACACACTTAATGGTAAGGTCCTGGGAAGTGTTGTTGAACAAAGACCTTGCAGTGTAGGTTCATAGTTCCTTGAAAGTGGAATCGTAGGTAAATAGGACAGCGAAGAAGGCATTTGGCATGCTTGCATTGGTCACTGCAGTGAGTACAGGAGTTGGGAAGTCATGTTGTGGCTGTACAGGACATGGATTCGGCCACTTTTGGAATACTGCATGCAATTCTGGTCTCCCTGCCATAGG